ATTTATTTTAACAAAATCAGTGCGCGGCAGCACAAAACGACTGCGCAGCGTGCACCCGCGCAGCTTAGAGGGAACATTGCCGCCCCCCCCCCCCTCGGAGAAAAAAGTCTGGAAGAAACTCTGGTCAGAAAAGCCACGAAGAGATTATGGCGTTGAAGTGTCATAGGCTACCGCTAATTCAATGCTGTGTATCTTTATTTTATACAACTGAAAGAGTTGAACAATCTTTTGCCGGATAATCATTTAAGTTTTATGGTACTTATGTGGTGAGTCATTTTTTTGCCGGTTGAACTGAAAAGTTAATTCCCAACAATATTAGATCCAATCTTCATTATAATTATGACCACTAAAGTTCTTTTTTGAAATCTTTAGTCCATTGTCCGTCTTCTGAAAAGCCAAGAAAGCAAAAACCTATTAATGATAACGAGAATGTGTGTGTATAAAAAAAAGTTTAACAAAGTTAAATTTTCATGAAGAGAAAATTAGATTATTGGAAACGTGGGGTAGTAAACTTAAAAATTTAAATCTAAAACTAATTTAAACATAAAAGGCAATGACTATAACCAGAGGCGTAGCGAGGGGGGGGGGGGGGTGCAAATCGACAGTTTGAGGGGGGGGGGGTGCAAACCGAAAACTTGAGGGGTGGGGGTGCAAATCGAAAGTTTGAGGGGGAAGTGCAAATCAAAAACTTGAGTGGGGGAAGCAAATCAAAAACTTGAGGGGGGGGGGTGCAAATCTAAAAGTTGTCCCCCGGGAAGGTTCGCTATTCTATTTAAACAAGTTTAAGTAATTAAAAATCATGTCTAGTTCTATATCCCGAGTTGCCATCCCACGTAGTGTTATAGAAAAATATTCGATAAAGTTTAGGGGAGATCACTCCCGTTTTTTTTTTAAAAACTACTCTCAAAATCAGTCACTGATACAAAAAATGGGTTGACTGACATTAAAAGATGCCTGAAAGAAATTAGAGTAGTAGACTATTTTTTGGGGTCAAAAGCGATAAAATACTCCGTACTATATGATATTCTGGTCACTGTTATAAAGGAATTTATATAGTAGTTAGTTAAAGTATCTTCAGCCAGTCTCTTGTAAAACTAGATAAAATATAACTTTCAACAAACCGTTGAAAAATTGAATATATCATCTCGTCTGTTTAACACTTGTAAAAAAAGACAAACACAATTTCGCAACTTTTACTGAACTGACTTGTTACCAACTTGAAAAAATAATTCAAAACCCAATGGCAATACAATTGGGCACAATTTTTTTTAATTCATTAAAATTTTGATATGTAAAGTACTAATAGTTACGCAGTTTTACGTAGGCATACACATTTGTGTGATATTATCAACACAATCTTATATACATTGTGATTTTAAAAAAAACACTGTTATAGTTCTATATTTTTAAAAAAATTGATAGTGCATAATACATTGTAGAACATGTCACTACTATGTAATCTGATGATTAGGCTGAAACATAGAATTCATATATATATATATAATATATATACATATATATATATATATATATATATATATATATATATATATATCTATAATATAACGCTGCTGGTAGTGTGTCAGTCCTTCCTTCCGTCATCGCTATAGATTTTGGAACCATAAAAGTAAACATTCGCACCATGCTGTGCTTTTCAGTGCACCGCAGTGTCTTATTATAAGTATTAGAGTAGGTTTGTTTATATAGCGGTATAGAGCTATTTTATAATTGCCACGGTTTTTACTCTTTCGCATAACGTCAAGAAAATATTAAATACACGCAAACTGCTAAAACGTATTAAAAAGATTAATGTCAAATATCATTTTCGTTTAGGTTCCCAGAAAAAGTGGATACATTTTAATAAGATAATAACAGTACGGTAGAAAAAATCAAATTAATTTAACTCTTTTCTAATTTTGACAACGGAGGTAATTTAAAAATACATTAAACTCACGCTAATAAAAAATGTAAATGCAAATATACGTTCGTCATAGAAGGAATTAGTGTTGCAATAATATAATTAGCAAAATGTGAATGCAAATTATTCGGATGTGTAAGAGGAAATTATTGTTAGAAAATTATAATTAGCATGGATTGATAAAAGGCAATCTTTTATTTATTTTATTCACTGAATGTAGGCCTACTGTTTATTACTTATAATTTTTAATCAACTATTCAGCTCTATTATAGACGCGTCATCACGTTCATTAGGTGCGCAATGGTTTTAGTTATGAAACTCTATTGTAAATTTTTAAAATTTAAAGTACTGGAAAAAAATGCGTGAATCGATAAAGTGAAATATTGTATATATTATAGATACTGCCTATTATTTATACTGTTTTCTAATTATTATTCTATCTTTCGGGTTTTATAGGAGAGGCGTAGCGAGGGGGGGGGGGGGCATATGTCCCCGGGTGCCGACCTTGGGGGGCGCCAAAGTGGGTTGTAAAAAATTTGCGAGGGGGGGGGGGTGGTGGAAATCGAAAGTTTTAGGGCGGGGGGGGGGGGGGGGGGGGAAAGGGATGCAAATCGAAAGTTTGAGGGGGGTGCAAATCACCGGAAAGGGCGCGATTTGGCGCTACGGGCTAGACTGTGAGCAATATGCCTTTATGATTGCATTTAAATTGTGTTTATGTTATGAGTGTTGTGTTTGTTTTTTCGTTGTTTTTTTTTTTTTTTTTTTTTTTTTGCGTTCGTTTGTATTGTGTTTAGTTTTGTTCTGTTGGTACATTTAAAAAAGATTTACCGTGGCGGAGCACGGGATGCAGCTAGTATATATATATATATATATATATATATATATATATATATATATATATATATATATATATATATATATATAACGTTTATCAATACGTTTATCCGTAATGCAATTTAACTCTACTTCATTTGCCCTATTGATCGTCAGATCCAAAAGGTTATTTTGAAAGTCAATAAATCTGGACTACGCCTAAAGTAAAATATTACTAATATCCCTGATGCTATCTATCAAAACTCTCTGTCCTGTATATCTATAAGTTCTCCGTTGGTTAAGGTTAGGGTACTCTGCTGTTGTAGTCTCTCTGAAGTCTCCAGTCGTGTGATGGTCCCTGCTAGATCTCCCCCACCGCATGCGCCGCGCGTTGGTTACTTTACCACTCCCCGCTGTTTATTATCACACATGCCTCGGTTGTTTTGTTGTGTACTGTCCCACTTAGGACCCCGCCATCTTTGTTTGTTTTCTGTGTGTATCCGTGTATGAAATATTTCTTTGTGTTGACTTTGAGAAAAATAAAAAATAAAAAAAAATAAAAAAAAATATCCCCCCCCCCCCCCATCCAATCTTTGTTGTGTCAGCCGGGGCACACGAACCACCCCGGGCCCGCCGTCGGTGTGGGGCAGGTGAAAAAAAAAAGGGAAGAGGCCATCTGACTCGTGTTTCTGTGTCTGCGCGGAGACCGCGCAACACAAAGTTTACAACCGGAAGCCAGGGCCTCTTTGATTTCCTTACCTACCGAACCCGCGTCTGGCCCCATTCGCGTCTCATCTGGTTCTGCGCATGCCCCGTGTACGCCAGCCGCGTCTGCCACTGGCTTTGGCATTATGGTCCTCACCCGAGCTGAGGCTGTTGATATCCCGAAAATAATTCAGGTTCGGATACGCTGATTTCGACAAAACAAAAAAGGTCGAGGATGAAAAAAATAAATAAATGGAAAAGACAAAAGCAAAAAGAAAAATACATAACCAACTGGTTTCTTTCTTCGCTATTTTTATAAATCAGGGGCCAAACCCCATCCTTGTATTGTCAGAAGATCGTGTGTTTGTGTGTGTGTGTATGTGCGTGTGCATTAACGTTGAATCCCCGTGGTGTAAAGATCCATGACTAATCCAAATTTCTGTAAGTTTTGTTAAAATCCAAATGGAAAAGATCCGTAAGTTTAGTTGTATCTAAATTATAAAAGTCCGTTATACAATTATAAAAGTCACACTAAAAACGTCCCTAAGTTTGGTTGCATAACTAACCGAATGACATATGAATATATAAATGTATAAAAAAAAACCTATGAACTACGATCTAGTGGTTTTTTTGTTTTATTTGTATAGGAATTTCACCCCGTGATTCAACATTTCTTTAACTCCACACACCTCGCTTTTCTCTTGTCCTTTAGCAAGCTGACGTCAGTCGTTGTTTGTTTAGCTGCTGTTTGTAACAACCTGTTCTAAAATAAGCTGACTGTTCTAGCCTCGACACACACACACATATACACTCAGACACATACATGCACACACAGACACACACATGCACACACAGAGACACACATACTCACACACACACTCACACACATATATACACACATGCACACACACATACACACACGCATGCACGCAAAGGGATATAAAACAATGAGATCACATGCCAACCCCCCCCCCCCCCCCACACACACACATACACACACACACGACCTACAGCACATCGAAAACAAAAGTTTGAACGTTTTTAAAGATGCTGTCTAGTAGTTTAAACTATATAATGATCGCATTGTATCAATGCGCCATTCATAACAAACAACCCTTCATTACTTAATATACCTCCTACCACAATCTCTCAATATCCCTTCTCCACTCAATATAATTATATGTAAAAAAAAAATAATTAAACAATACATTTTAAAAAGTAAACTTTGCAGCAAGATCGAAGACAGATTGTAGAAAGAAATTTTATTGGAAATAGTAAGATTAAGGACTAATTTTAAAAAAAAAAGTCTTTTGTTAGTGTACGATTATCAATCGTCGCTGATTTCACTCGGGACTAATATTTTACTCCAACACGTTTACGCACGCAACTATTTTTAAGGCTCACGTAGGTTTTTTTTGTGTGTGTGTGTGAAACGCCTTTGATCGCAACATCAGTTGTTGTGTTTCTCGCGTTTACCTTGCATTAAAAAACATATATTTAGTTTCCATACTCTCTACGTCATGGATTAAATATTTTTCACAGCAAAATAATCAATTACGTCATCAAAGCATTGGACAAAACGGAAGTGGCGCTTTTTCATCTTCCCTTTTTGATGGCTGCAGTTCCAGAGTTGACAGGTTGTGGTAAGGCTGAAGATTTGTTTGAAACTTTTGCAGCTTATACACTTTTTGAACGTAAGCATATAAATACATTTAAGTAAATCGGCCATATTGCATGGACCCAGTTAACTGAGTGGGCTCAGTAGATTATTAATTATTGTTGACATGGAACAAAATCAACGTTTTTTTCCATGTCGTCTTTTGAGTGGCATAACAGGAGCATTACACCTTTTGAAACATAGATCTAGATCTATACTAGATTCTCGATCTAGACTATTCTAGATTACTCAGATCTAGAGCAAGATCATTTAGACTATATATACAAATTTAAGTTAAAACTTGAAAAGCGATTAAAAAAACGAGATCATGATCTAGATTTTTAGATTAGATAAAAAATTCAAACGACGTATCATGCCTAACGCTTTTGTAATGCAAACTTTGGCGATTATTTTATGAGGATTCTCATTATGCTTGTACTTTTATATCTTATGGTAAATGATTTGATTGAAGGTGTTAGATGCATCGCGTTTTTTAGGAGAGGTAACAATTACATGCTGCCTAACCCAACACAACCCCTAACCTCATATCTAGTTTAACATAACCGTTAACCCAACACTAACCTAGCCCTAACCTTATATCCAGCCTAACCCAACCCAAACCCTAACTTCATATCTAGCTTAAAATCCAACTTAACCCAACCGTAACCTAGCCCTAAGCTTATAACCAACACAAACCCTAACCTCATATCTAGTTTAACTTAACCCCACACTAACCTAGTCCTAACCTTAAACCCCACACTAACCTAATCCTAACCTCATATCTAGTTTAACATCTAACTTAACCCCACACTAACTTAATCCTAACCTCATATCTAGTTTAACATCTACCTAATAACCCCAACACTAACCTAACCTCCGCAGGACTGTACTAGAAGTGGTCACCATGCATCAAGCCTTTGAACACTGTCATGTCCATAGGGACGCTCCCCGACCCTCGGACTCCTTGGCTAGCATGTGTTGGCCCATCATAAACCAGGTCAGTAATAGGGCCACTTGGCCCATCATAAACCAGGTTAGTAATAGAACCACATGGCCCACCATGAACCAGGGCCACATTGTCACCAGACCCATCATAAACCAGGTCAGTAATAGGGCCACTTGGCCCATCATAAACCAGGTTAGTAATAGGGCCATTAGGCCCATCATAAACCAGGTTAGTAATAGGGCCACTTGGCCCATCATAAACCAGGTTAGTAATAGGGCCACTTGGCCCATCATGAACTAGGGCCACATTGTCACCTGGGCCACCATAAACCAGGTTAGTAATAGGGCCACTTGGCCCACCATGAACTAGGGCCACATTGTCACCAGGCCCATCATAAACCAGGTTAGTAATAGGGCCACTTAGCCCATCATAAACCAGGTTAGTAATAGGGCCACTTGGCCCACCATGAACTAGGGCCACATTGTCATTTGGGCCATCATAAACCAGGTTTGTAATATGGCCACTTAGCCCATCATGAACGCATCAAATAATGGGGTTACAATGTAACCTGGTCCAAATGTTTGTGTATTGAGTCAAGCAATCAACTGTTTGTGGTACATAATAATAGGTCGGAAGCTCATTACCTACTCGCTCACATCTAGACGAGTACTCACGGCACGAGCCAGGTCTTGTCGCCATAGCAACCAGAGCTGTTAACACCAGTTATCAATAGTTACACCGAGTACGCTAATTAGTCATCTATATGTATTTCACCATAGTATATGTTAGATTAAAAAAGCCTGTGCTTGTCCCACCCTGCTGCAGCAAAGGCCGTTAACTGTGTTGGAGAAGGCCGGACTGGCCAAGTGTCCACCCCGTGCTGACGTCAGCTGGCCGGTGTCCGAACCCTGGAGGAGAAATCTGAACGAGCCGCGCTGTGGGGGTAGGTGCTCATAGAGTGTGGGTGGGTGTGTGTGTGGGGTAGGTGCTCATAGAGTGTGTGGGTGTGTGTGGGGGTAAGTGCTTATAGAGTGTGGGTGTGTGTGGGGGTGTATGTGGTAATATATTGTGTGTGTGGGGTGTATGTGGTAATATATTGTGTGTGGGGGTGTATGTGGTAATATATTGTGTAGCGGTAGGTGCTAATACGGTGAGGGTGTGTGGGTTGTAGGTGCTCATAGAGTGTGGGGGTGTGGGGGTAGGTGGCAAATGTGAGGTGTGTGGGGGTAGGTGCTAATAGAGTGTGTGTGTTTAGGTGCTAATAGAGTGTATGTGTGGGGTAGATGCAAATACTGTGTGTGTGTGGGTAGGTGCTAATAGATTCTGTAGGTGTGTGTGTGGGGGGTAGGTGATAATAGAGTTGTGGGGTAGGTCTCATAGAGTGTGTGGGAGGTAAGACCAAAATTGTGTGGATATGTGGGGGTTGGTAGGTACAGTGAGATTTTGCGGGTGAATGGGTGAGGGGTAGGTGCCAATGCTATGTGTGGGTTTGTGAGGGTAGATGCCAAAACACTGTGTGGGTTTGTAGCTGTAGGTACCAAAAGATTATGTGGGCTTGTGTAACGTCTTAATGACGGAGATATACTTTATTCTTTCATACAAAAAATGCTTAAAATCGTCTTCATACTTTCTATTATTTAGCTATTATTTTGCTACTCTAGGCTTATTAAAAAACAAAATTCCAATGCACTTCTCAAATAAAACAAAGGTCAAGGACGATGCCAAGGTGATCCCCAGAGATGCAACTCTAAATACCGCTACGGCGTCGATGACGTGGGCCAGTGCCCGACCCAGCAGACGTGTAAGAAGGCCTACTGCTGCGCCCCCTGCCCCCCGGAGTGTGTCCAGCCGTGCCCCAACCCACCGGGTTGCAACAGGTTGGTTTTGGGGTTTATTAAATCAAAATAAACTTATAGAATAAGTAAAAAAAAATATAAGCAAAACACTCGATGTTTCGGCTAATGGTCTACGTCAGAATAAATAAACACCAAGAGAAAATTATAAAGTATTTTTCTAATAATAATATTAAAAATAGAAACATGAAAGCAATTTTCGATTCAGGAATGACGGTCCGCGTGACAGACTAATTAGAGTTAATCTGTTTCTGTGATCTCCGGTTTAAAAAAAAGGGTAATATTTACAGCTAAGCAGCCGTTGCTGTCGGGTACCCATTAGGGCTGAGTTGTCGCTGTAGCTTTATATCTACCAGCTTGTTTACAGTATATTAAAAAATGAATATTTGAACACAACACTTTTCTTTTCGGCCCCAATTTGCAGGCTGACCACGAGGTGCTTTGACTGGCCCATCCCCAAGAACGAAAAGTGCGCCCCCGTCAACACCAACATGGACTTCCGCCCCCCGCGAGCTGACCTGAACGATCAGACGGTACAGCCGGAGCGCTGCCCGACCTGCAAGAGGATCGTCGTCGATATGGAGTGTGGCCCGCTCGGCTACAACTATTAATCCTTTGGGTTGGGGCGGGGGTGTTCGGCTGTAACTGTTATCTCTTTATATTGTGTGGGTGAGGGGTGTTCAGCTACAGATATTAATCCTTTAGGGGATGGTGTTCAGCTATAAGTATAAACCCTTTGTTTATATGTGGAGGGAGGGTGTTGGTTGGGCGCGCTCGACTCAACTATTAACCCTTTTGGGGGATGGTATTCAGCTATAAATATTAACTCTTCATATCGTGTGGGTGAGGGGTGTTCAGATACAGGTATTAACAATTTGTATTATGTGGGTAAGGGATGTTCATCTACAGGTATTAACCCTTTGAGGGGGGGGGGGGGGGTGTTCAGCTATAGCTATTAAATCTTTGTAATGTGTGGGTGAGGGGTGTTCAGCTATAAGTATTAACCCTTTGTTTATATGTGGAGGGAGGGTGCGCTCGGCTGAACTATTAACCCTTTCGAAATGACCCGCTCGCCTACGATTTTAACCCTTTCTATATGAGTGGTTGGTGAAGGCTGCAACTATTAACCCTTTTTCTTTTGGGGCTCGCTTAACACTTTTACTGTGGAAGACTGCTTGGCTACTATTAACCCTTTTCGCGTGGGTCATCTCATCTTATTACCCTTTTAATCTGGTTTACCTTCCAAAGATATTAACCCTAACATTGGAAACCACCAATCGACTATATTTTTCCCCACTTAAATGTAACTTACTTAGATTACAATGATGGAAATTATTGTGTAACTGCATTGGTCACACATTCTAATGTAGTGTTTTAAACAATCTTAGATCGTATTATCTCTCTCTTTGGTGTCGCTATCGATGCCATCTGTCAAAACATCGTACATTAAACCACTCAAAGCCTAGCCTATGTGTTTTCTTGACTATATTATTTCGGCGGGGGGGGGGGGGGGTCTGTATTTTGTGTTCTATATTTCGTGTTACCTATATTTTTACGTTGCCTGTATTTTTATATGCCTATATTTTGTGTTGTCTGTATTTTTTATGTCTATACTTTGTGTTGTCTATATTTTGTTATGACTATATTTTGTGTTGACTGTTTTTTGTGTTGCCTATATTTTGTGTTGTCTATATTTTGTGTTGCCTATATTTTGTGTTGTCTATATTTTGTGTTGCCGATATTTTGTGTTGCCTATATTTTGTGTTGCCTATATTTTGTGTTGCCTATATTTTGTGTTGCCTATATTTTGTGTTGCCTATATTTTGTGTTGTCTATATTTTGTGTTGCCTGACTTTTTGCCAAGTGTTCTTTATAATGAATTGAATGGGATGGGATTGAAGTGGGGGGGGGGGGGGGGGGGGGAGGGGAGGGGGGTCAGCACTTGGCGAAGTTGTGTAACAATGGGGAGTTGTGGTGGTTCTAGAAAGTGTGACGTTACCCGTCTACATTTAGAAATTAAATTTTTTCGCATTTTGAAATGAAATAAGAGTAAGCTGCAGTGAGCCATTATTTTCTAGAGGTTCTGACCTTTAAGGCGATCTGAAACGTTGAAGACGGGTGTGGTGTAATGGGCACACACCAACATGCGTCACTTTATTTATAGACAACTCCCAGTATCATAGGAAAAATGTAACAAGCTTCAACAGCTAACATTTTTTTTATCCAGCGACCTCAGTATTGAGATATTGTCAAGTATATATTGTATATTATGTAAAGTAGGCCTATATTTTGTATATTATGTAAAGTAGTCCTGTAGACTATTTTGTATATGATGTAAAGTAGGCCTATACTTTGTATATGATGTAAAGTAGGCATATACTTTGTATATTATGTAAAGTAGGCCTATACTATGCATATTATGTAAAGTAGTCCTATACTTTGCATATTATGTAAACTAGGTATATACTTTGAATATTATGTAAAGTAGGCCAAAACGTTAAATATTATGTAACGCATACGTTATATATTATGTAACGTAGGCCTATACATTAAATATTATGTAACGCATTCGTTGTATATTATGTAACGGATGCGGTGATTGGTTTGTCAAGGAGTTAGTAACTTTGTGTAGCGTTATGTTGTCAGTAGACATTACAAACACTCAAGATGATGTCTAATTGGTCAGTCAGGTTGGTCAGGATGGTCATTAGGTTGGTCAGTTGGGTTGGTCAGTTAGGTTGGTCAGTTGGGTTGGTCAGTTAGTTTGGTCAGTTAGGTTGGTCAGTTAGGTTGGTCAGGTAGGTTGGTCAGTTAGGTTGGTCAGTTAGGTTGTCAGTCAAGTTGGTCAGTCAAATTGGTCAGTCAAATTGGTCAGTCAAATTGGTCAGTCAGGTTGGTCAGTTAGGTTGGTCAGTTAGTTTGGTAAGTTAGGTTGGTCAGTTGGGTTGGTCAGTTGGGTTGGTCAGTTGGGTTGGTCAGTTGGGTTGGTCAGTTGGGTTGGTCAGTTAGGTTGGTCAGTTGGGTTGGTCAGTTAGTTTGGTCAGTTATTTTGGTCAGTTAGATTAGTCAGTCAAGTTGGTCAGTCAATTGGTCAGTCAAATTGGTCAGTCAAGTTTGTCCGTCAGGTTGGTCAGTCAAGATAGTCAAGTTGGTCAGTCAAATTGGTCGGTCAAGATGGTCAGTCAATTGGTCAGTCAAATTGGTCAGTCAAATTGGTCAGTCAAATTGGTCAGTCAAGTTTGTCCGTCAGGTTGGTCAGTCAAGATAGTCAAGTTGGTCAGTCAAGTTGGTCAGTCATGCAGTTATCAGTGCAACCTTCCATGTCCGATATCACCCCTCTCTCATCCCCACCCCCTAATTTTCCACCCCTCTCCCCCACCTCCCATCCACACCTCCACAAATCAACTAGCCTCATCTCCTTCACACACAAAAAGATAAACGTCTCCCCCACTTCACTCTATACCTAACCACTCACAATCCCAAACCCTTGGTAAATCCAATTTGTCCGCCATATTTAATCAAAGCGATATTACCAATTAGCCACAAGGCAATAGATTTTAAGATTTTATTCGCCACACATTCTTACCCAAATCTGAAGATTCTCTCCCCCTTGTATTTCAACTCTCGCATTCAGCCCAGCGCCATTACCTCCCCTTGCCCTATTATTAAACTCGACCGCTGCCTGAAACCATTGGGGATGATCTCCCCCTTGAGGAAGTGTTGATTTAAAAGAGGGCGGATTTAGGAAAGCGGGCCAATTCACGCGAGATCCTGTTGATACAAGACCACGACACACGGGTGATGGGAACAATTAGATAAGATCTAACCGGAACAAGAATCTCCGGCTTCGAGTCACGTGGTATCATCAACCGTTAGCAGATGGGTGCAGGACGGCCGGGTTTTTATACAAAAAAAAAGTGATCTTTTTGTTCATGTTAAGAGTAAGACGTTTGGCCGCAGGGAGATGAGGGTGAAGCTGTTGGATAATGATGGTAATACAAAGTTTTAGGCAACGTAAGGTTGTGGCCATTCTAGTTTGAGGCGTGATATGCCTATTTGTATTGAGGCATTTGTCAAGGACTGCTTAGAATATGTTTCAGAAGAAAATATTTAATTTAGCGATGGTGCACATATTAAATAATATTAAGGCTTTGGTGGACGCTGTGTCCAAGTATCCCCGGAATCAAATAAAAGCGGCATCTTTCCGACTTAAATTTTCGCAAATATTTGTTTTTTCAATAAAAGACTGAGGATCGATGTTAACAAAGTCAAGCATCACTTTACAAATTGCAATGTACAGTAACAACAAAACGAAAAATTCTAAGGGTTATTAAGATAAAAAAAGAAAAATTAAAGCACCGATTCTAGAAGTCCACCAAGATTTTATTCCTGACCGTCTCCCAAGATTTTCCCACCGTGTCCCGGCGGCCCAGTCCACCCCTGCACAATATGGTGTTTGCTCTAAGTTGTGCGGTCTCGCAGCCGCGCAGTTACTGTGTACAATTCGAATAACCTTTTATAAGTCTCTTAAGGGCACAATGATAACAACATAACCTTATACACACGTTTAATAAGCTACATAGACGGAATGTTGGTCATCATCTTTCCTGTGGGTCCTTGGGCAGCTTAAGGACGCTACCACACCTCTCCAATGTACTCTGTTTTGGGTGATTCCACCAAGTTGGTATCACGGCCTTCCGGTTGCCCGTGCTACCTGAAAACTAAATGGTGGGTGGTGGTTCTTCATTTGTGTTTTTTTTAGTGTTTTAGATGGTGTTTTGTGTTCAAGAGCCGTGTTGTGTAACACTTTGAGTTTAAATTTTATTTCATTTTTCTCCAAAATTTTCAGCAACTTATTTTTTTCGCAGAATTAACAAAAATAGATACATTTCCTCAGCAGTAATTGCCAGTGATGCTGGTATTAGTTTTATGTACCAAACAAACTTTTGTAATTAATCTTCTTTCCGCTCGTGCCCAAGATACATGGGGCAGATAGAGTTCATCCGTGTCGTGATGACTTTAGCATATGAAGCGATAGAATGATCAGTTAGGTATCCAAAATATAACATTTACTTGTGGGTGTAGGGAAAGATTACATTATACATTGTTGGTGTTTTATGTGTTATGAGTAATGGTGTTTGGGTATGTCGTGGTGCAAAAACGTCAAACATTTATGTTATGTAATATTTGCACGTTTAATACAAAGGTGCTTGACAGTTTCAACAGATAGATTACACTCTTAAACTTTTCTAACGCATTGAAATGACACCTTAAATGAAATACAAAACGCGGTAAAATAAGACCTTTCATTACGTACCTAACTCCGTCAAATGACACCTTATGCGACCTACCTAACACCATCAAATAACACCTTACATGACCTGCCCAACACCCTCAAATGACACCTTACATGACCTGCCTAACACCAACCACCTGACCAGTTCCGCAGGTCATCTCCTGATTCCCACCCCCTCACTAACGATGTCCAGGTGACGGAGCATGCATGGAACCACTTCTACGACCACCCCCCTAAGCGCCCACAGCCAACATTTTACACACGCTACGAGTCTACACTCCATGAACAAGATGAGGCGCGCTATCTACCAACTAAAATCTTTATTTAAAAAAAAAAAACAATAACAGCAACAAAATGCTTATTCAGCTTAAAATCTTCCTCAACATGAACTAGATCTATATGGGTTTATAATTTTTTTAAATTAAAATTTTCATATTTTCAGAAAGACGTTTCAAGATTTAAGTTAAATAATTTTATTTAATACCCAATTGGTTCTGTTTTTTTTAAAAATTATTTCGTTATTTTTATTAGACCCACCATTAAAAGCCTCTTTTATCAAGTTAATACAATTTACAAGCATATACAATATGAAATGATAAAATATTATAAAGATTTAAAAGAAATATCAAGTTTATTATTTGCTTTACAAAGTACAATGCAATGGTTTTGATCGAAGTTGAAAAAAGACTTTATATTTAAGAAAAAAATTATAAATAAAAAAGTTTTAAATATACGTTGAATTATTACTAAAACGACTTAACTCTAAGATAAATTATGAAAGCAACACATGCCGAAGTGAAGCATGTCAAAAGGTCAGTTTTTGGAATTGTATACATTCGGGTCCGGCGAGTGTTTATTAAGATGACCAATCTGTAAGTCGTCGTCAAGAAAAACCTCGCCCGTTTCCTGGTCAACAGCGCGGGCACCGAACAAATTATCTATCAAACATGCTCGTGGGAAATGTTGGTTAATTCCCCTTAGTGAACCGGAGTTGCGGTCCTTGTCCGCGCGATAAAAAACATACTGGCGATCTGAGTGGCGAAGAAACAACGTTGGACTTTGGTGTCTTGGGGGAGTAGGGGGGGGTAAGTGATGAGAAATGTCAAAGGCGTAGGTGAATGGTGGGTGGGAGGGTTAAAGTTGAAGGGGGGGGGGGTGGGCGA